CATTCGACCTTAAAAAGACGAGGCATTTCAGGGAGAGTCGAGGGGAAGAAGGCTGCCTTGTATGACATATTCTGGACGTCTTCCATTAGGGTGAGTCAGTCTCATTCATGGCAATATTGTAGTATGATAATTACGGAGTGATTGCATGAGTATGCTAGGGAGGCATTATGGAAAGTGAAGGTGTATTAACTGATCTTTTTTATTTTCTTTTTTTAACCTCACCTGAAACTCTGAGACCTTAAGGAACCTGCACACTGGACTGACCAGCTCTGGAAACCTGATTACCACTGTATGTATTTGATGTGCTTACATCATATATATACCTCAAAGGCACAATGCACCCCATATACAGACATGTCATGAGTGTGACATCTAGCACAAGTCATATGAAATCCTCTTTAAACACTTGAAAACTGTAAGAGCTGCACCTTGTTTTGAAATGGAATCACTAATTTATATATGACAGAAATATATCTAATGTTTTCCTTGTTCTTCTCTCTTCTCAGCTCCATTCATGTCCAGCTTGCTCATCAATGCTCTTATTTTAAGTAATTACAAATTCATGTTATTGTATGACATGAAGTTGTGTTTCATTAAGTTATGAAATTTATCAATACAGTTTAGTAGCAATAAAGTCTGAGTCTACAACCAATATTTGTGTTACCAACATTTATTGAAGTTTGACATTTAAAGTGTATTACATTCAATAAAACAAAATACATGTGATGGCCACGGAGTGGAGGACGACAACACAACAGCACAGCAACAACATTCCTGGCTGTCGACCTTGCCTGTACATGTGCCACAGAAAATAAGGAGTCCATGAAGATAAGAGCCTTAAACTAATGCTATGCACAGTGGAGATCAGTTAACCTCTATTGGACATCAGAGAAATGGCATGATGTCCAATATTTTATCTCAAATCAATATAAGTGTCAATTCATTTGAATTAATTAATTCCAATGCATGAAAGTCCATTCACTGTTGTCTTACATATAAATTATGAAACAAGCACATTCACTAAATATTACTGTTCAACAGTGGTTCCCAAACTTTTTTTTATTACCTGACCTTAACACAAACAAGCTGTGGTCCCCAAATTATAATTGTTTACTATTTGAGTTTCAGATATTTGATTTAATGTAGAACTTTTAAAAGATAACGATGAATATATGGTTGCTAGAACCATTGAATCTCCTGTTAGGAGCAGTATGGTCCCTGGCAGGGCCTTTAGACTCTTTGCCTTGTATTGTTCATATTTTTAAGCAGACTTATCAGTGCTAAGAAATGTTTCAAGCAGATCCAATGTTTTATATTGCCAGATCTCACAAAGCCTCTATAGTAAAGTGTAGGAGCAGAGACAAGTGAAGCATCACTTCTCTGTTTTATTGCAGCTCAACAAATGTAAACCATTTCTCTCTTTTGGCAGCAGGTGGTGAGGTGGTTATCTGAACAAGCAATCCTTTTACCTTAATCACCTCTCAATATTGTGTCGGATTATCAAGACGAACACTATTGTGCTACTTAGCAAAATTGATGCTCCCAAAAATCACCTTCGGAGTTCCTTTATATGATTTCTCGAACAATTCTATTTGCAGGAGAACATTTTTGAAAGCTAGAGTTAAAAGCTCAGGCATAAATAAATAGGAGATCCTGACAATATCAAAAACTTGAGATACAGAGCAGTGATTTTTAGATCACAGCTTAATATTTGGGTTAATATTTTCTGCTCTCGGATGAAAGTACATTTTGAATTGGGTAGTAGTGATTTATTTATGTATTACAATTACATATAATATCTGTATGTACATACAGTATATGTGTGTTTGTATTTGTGTATATGTAATGTCTGTTGTAATTTGTTTAATTATGTTTCTGACTGTGGTTTTGTTATTTATGTTTTTTCTTTTGTGTAAGTATTGTATGTGTGTTGTAAATAAATAAAATAAAAACCAATCCAGCCAAACACTATGATGATGGAAACCAACGCGCTACTCAAGGTGTGAAGATCAGAAAATAAACTTTTTCAGGTAAACACTTCTTTCAAAAGAACTTTAACACTAATACTAAAACTAATATTACTGCTACTAATTCAAATATTACCACTAATTTTATTATTAATACTAATATGTCACAACCTGGCTCATAAGGCCTTGACAAAGTGGGAGACAACATTTAAAAAAAAAAACTAAAAACAAAACAAAACATTTTTTTAGTTTATTTATTCAGCACACAACAAAAAACTATTGACAGAAAACAAAAAACAAAATTTGTGAAGAGTAGAGGCAAGAGACCCGCATGGGCCTATCTGAGGCCTCCACTCACATTAAATAAAAATATGAACTATGAATTATGAACTTGAACTTGAATTTAGAATTTTCAAAAGTTGAACAAAGTAAGTAGGCACCGGGGCCCAGATGCCTCTGTGGGCAGTGGTGTGAGGCTTCCTGCACTCTGCGGCTGCTCTCTGGCGTTGGCGTGGTGGCGTGCACTCAATGTTGTGTAATGGGGGGCTGGCGGGTGTTGCAGGGCATTTGAGGTGATGTTCCAGGCCTGGTGGGGGCCAGGGTCGTGGTTTGGGGCTGTTGCTTAGCTGTTTTGCTGCAATGCTGGGTACCTCAATGGCAGGGGGGCTGTGTCCTGGGAGCACATTCAACATTCATACATAGAATTGCACTGTTGTGAATAAAACCAGAATAAAACCAACAATACTAAAAATAAATAAATAAATATTGCAGTGGCAGCAGGGTTAGTACATGTTTGTGTTCAGCAAGGTTATGGCTTTGTGGAACACCAACATGCACTAACCCTGCTGCCACTGCAATATTTATTTATTTATTTTTAGTATTATTGGTTTTATACATCAATCAATTAAAAGAAAGAAAGGAGGAAGGAAGGAAAGAAAGAAAGAGATAGAGAGAGAGAGAGACACAGTAGCAACCAGAACTTTATATACCATACCGAGAACATAGGAGCTCTTTGTCAGCACTGATAATTCACTGCCCCACCCACCAGGTATCTGAAAAACAGGTAGTGACACATTATATGATTTTCTCATTGCAGACGAGCAGACAGGGAGCCTGATGCAAATGCCCGCACATGCAGCTGCCATTTTCCTCATGGAAAAGACAAAGGGCCATGTCTTTTTCAGTGGACAAAGAGCTGTGTCACCTTACCGTCAGCAAACCAGTCAGTTGACCCAACATCTCTGCTTGACCACAACTACACGAAGGTGCCTGACACAGACCCCGAACCCTGTGGCATACAGTCTGGACTGTTGCAAGACCAGGCAGGGGATGACAGTGTGCAG